ATTGCTCTAAGGTCTTGTTTTTTGTAGCAACATAATTTTCTACTTCATATTTCCTTTGCATAAACTTTATGCAAAGTGACTAACTTTATTGAAATAAGTGTATATGGTATGCACTCTATAAAGATGTGCAAGCTAATTACTTATAGGCAAATCTGGTTTTTATTATTTACGGATTATTTCCCACAGAACAAAAAGATATATATTTGTCAGTCGAAAGCACTGTAATGAGACTTTAGTTCATGCATTTAAAAAACTTAGGGGCTAGATAATTGCAATTAATTACTATGCGGTGTTTCTAAATATCTCATTCATAGCCTTCAGTTTGGTTAAGTTCAATTTATCAATATTACGGTGTGTCTCTCATGTGCGACCGTTAAACACGAAGTGTTTAGTCTTGTTTCGCGGGCTTCATGATGATCTCAAAATATACCATATTTTCCCTTTTTCTGGCGAAGTAATAGCAAACATCTACTTAATATATCTATTAAAAGTTTATTTCTTGCAAGAAAAACTTATTTTTGGAGAATGAAATTGAAACTACTGAATATTCTCGAAAATTTTGGGCAAGAAGTCGTTGTTTTGAGGGCATGAAGCCGGCAAAACAAGACTAATTACTTCGTAGGTCTTCACATCGTGTCGCCAAAAAAAAAACATTCCCCCCCCCCCCCCTCTTCTTGGTGAGTTAATAGCAAAAATATACTCTATGTATCTACTAAGGGTAGATTTCTTGCAAGAAAAAGGGTTTTTTATCGTTATTTAGTGCGCTAACTTACCTTTTATCACCAAAAAAATTACCCAAATCCGCCATTTCTTTTTACATTCTCGCATAGCTAAAATCCTGTAGAATGCCAGCCACAATGGCGGATTGATCACGTGACCTCTTACARCAAATCGCCTATTATCCAATAGTTTTCCCCTCGGCATTTTAAAATGTCTTAATTTGAAAAATAGAATTCAAGATGGCGGCCGTATCGGTACAAAGGTCTATTCTTCCCGAATATGTGCTTTTCTGCCATCATTTAAGCTACTCATTAGAAAAGAAGTACGTCTAATTCAAAATAGTAGTAGAACATTTTAGGTTTGCACACCAAGATTTTGGAAGAATATTGGAAATAGTCCTAACATTAATTGCCCTATTTCACTATGACGTCACTGCTTGTTTATGTAAGGGGTAGAAACGCCAAATTAAAATAGCCTGGTTTTCAGATATAATATTTGTTAATATGTACTAAAAAATATATTCTGAGCGTTTGCTGGCTATTCTTGTACAATTATTGTAATGTACTTTTTAAACCCTTTACCCCGCCCTCCTTAAACACACATAATCACAAACCATCACAAGAACGTAACTAACGCTCCTGCTTCTTTCATGCTACAATAAAACTTTTTGACACCAAGAAATCAAGCCAGATATCCAGCAACTAATAACGAGAAACATAAAAGTTTTAAAGAAAATAAGTCCCAAACAATATTCTATATCACCCCCACACGCACACGCACACACACAAACAACATTACATGTAGCAGGTTGAAAAGATCAGTTAACTTGGTCGCCTGGACTCTCCCAGCTGACAGCCAAGAAAATTGAACAGAACTATACCTAATCAAAAGGTATAGACATGGTCAAGATGGTCTGCTTAAATCTTGATACATGCTAAAGCCAGGCCTGCGGTCGTGTTAGAGACATCTTTTGAGGTCAAGGTTTCAAATTTACTGCCGCTTGAGGCATGAGATGATAGTGAATCTTGCGCGCGCGTTTTTATTTAAACTTTTTGTTTTGTCCAGCGGCACCATTTTTTTAATGAAGCGCGCGCACAGCCACAAAAAAATTAATAAATTAATAATTCAGTCTTTTATAAAACTCCTCCCCTCATGGGTTTTCTTTTCATTTTCAACTCAAAAAGTCTTTTAAACTAAAACATGCAGAGGAAAAATTAAGAATGCGTTGTGTCACTGCATGGCCGCAATGTGGTCACCCTGTGTTTTGACGTCACTATTTTCAGTCATTGATGACGAATTAAAATGCGTCACAAATAGATTCGATTCATTTTGCGAAAAACTGCGAGAAAGATAGGAAAGAAAGATGGGCGGGCTAACTGTGATATTTGTCTGTGTGCTTTTGTCAAGCAATTTTAGTCCAATTATTAGCAAGAAATTAGAAATGAGTTTGGGAAAAGATGCCTTGAGCATGGATCATGGTGAGTTAATGTTTKTTTTTTTTACGATTTTAGTTGAACACAATACTTCTATTTGCTGTCAGCGTTGGAAGAATTGTTCATCAATGGTGTCCACAGCTTCATCCCCACAATGCCATGCGTTACGAAGTCCTTACTACAAATAATCTTATTCTCAAGAGGAGTGACACGTGGTCTGAAATGGGAAAATATTACGCGCACACAAGCTGATCGAATATGGATCTTTTCTTGATGTCATAAACTTATTAACTGTCTTTCATATTTAGCTCTTCAAAGAAGAAATGAGAAGGCACACGGCCTGTTTGATCTCATAATCATGCAGATCATGCGCATCGATTACAAGTCCTTGGGCACGTATATCTTATACCTCATGATATTTTGTTTCGTGTTTCATTACTGCGTGATGGCTGCCAAGGATTTACAAAACGAAAGGTAAGATAGAAACACTGATGAAGAATTGAGTACCCTTCTTAATAACAGCCAAAATTATAACAGCAACAGCAACAGCAACAGCAACAGCAACAGCAACAGCAACAGCAACAGCAACAGCAAGTAAATAGTCTAGTAATGAATGTTGTTCATNATATTCTGAGCGTTTGCTGGCTATTCTTGTACAATTATTGTAATGTACTTTTTAAACCCTTTACCCCGCCCTCCTTAAACACACATAATCACAAACCATCACAAGAACGTAACTAACGCTCCTGCTTCTTTCATGCTACAATAAAACTTTTTGACACCAAGAAATCAAGCCAGATATCCAGCAACTAATAACGAGAAACATAAAAGTTTTAAAGAAAATAAGTCCCAAACAATATTCTATATCACCCCCACACGCACACGCACACACACAAACAACATTACATGTAGCAGGTTGAAAAGATCAGTTAACTTGGTCGCCTGGACTCTCCCAGCTGACAGCCAAGAAAATTGAACAGAACTATACCTAATCAAAAGGTATAGACATGGTCAAGATGGTCTGCTTAAATCTTGATACATGCTAAAGCCAGGCCTGCGGTCGTGTTAGAGACATCTTTTGAGGTCAAGGTTTCAAATTTACTGCCGCTTGAGGCATGAGATGATAGTGAATCTTGCGCGCGCGTTTTTATTTAAACTTTTTGTTTTGTCCAGCGGCACCATTTTTTTAATGAAGCGCGCGCACAGCCACAAAAAAATTAATAAATTAATAATTCAGTCTTTTATAAAACTCCTCCCCTCATGGGTTTTCTTTTCATTTTCAACTCAAAAAGTCTTTTAAACTAAAACATGCAGAGGAAAAATTAAGAATGCGTTGTGTCACTGCATGGCCGCAATGTGGTCACCCTGTGTTTTGACGTCACTATTTTCAGTCATTGATGACGAATTAAAATGCGTCACAAATAGATTCGATTCATTTTGCGAAAAACTGCGAGAAAGATAGGAAAGAAAGATGGGCGGGCTAACTGTGATATTTGTCTGTGTGCTTTTGTCAAGCAATTTTAGTCCAATTATTAGCAAGAAATTAGAAATGAGTTTGGGAAAAGATGCCTTGAGCATGGATCATGGTGAGTTAATGTTTTTTTTTTTTACGATTTTAGTTGAACACAATACTTCTATTTGCTGTCAGCGTTGGAAGAATTGTTCATCAATGGTGTCCACAGCTTCATCCCCACAATGCCATGCGTTACGAAGTCCTTACTACAAATAATCTTATTCTCAAGAGGAGTGACACGTGGTCTGAAATGGGAAAATATTACGCGCACACAAGCTGATCGAATATGGATCTTTTCTTGATGTCATAAACTTATTAACTGTCTTTCATATTTAGCTCTTCAAAGAAGAAATGAGAAGGCACACGGCCTGTTTGATCTCATAATCATGCAGATCATGCGCATCGATTACAAGTCCTTGGGCACGTATATCTTATACCTCATGATATTTTGTTTCGTGTTTCATTACTGCGTGATGGCTGCCAAGGATTTACAAAACGAAAGGTAAGATAGAAACACTGATGAAGAATTGAGTACCCTTCTTAATAACAGCCAAAATTATAACAGCAACGGCAACGGCAACGGCAACGGCAACGGCAACGGCAACGGCAACGGCAACGGCAAGTAAATAGTCTAGTAATGAATGTTGTTCATTCTCCTTCCAGAAATAGAGCCGAGGTAGTAAAGGAGCTGATGAGGGAGGTACAAATAGAACTAGAACGAAGTGAACGACAAAACGATACCAAACGATCCAAGAAGCAACAGAAAAAGAACAACAAGAACAAGAGGAGTCGTAAATGAAGCCCTGGATGTGATATTATTAACTAATTTGTAATATTTAATAAATTGACTATTGTGATAATGAAATGTTGATATTATCTGACATTTTCTCCTTGATTTTTCACACTCAGTTTGGTCTTATTGAATGACACTCATAAAATTCTGAAACATATCCACGTCATAAATGAAATGGGAACATATTATTTTTGAGGGAGAAGGAGAGAAAGGAAACGAAACGAAGGGAAGGGTGCATTGATCTTCTTTTAATACCTCTCTCCCCATTTTTACCGCAAACGCACGCCTAGCATTGATGGTCAACAAAGGAACAACGATGCTTATCTGCATTGCATAGCAATTTTGCTGAAGTTCAAACGAAAGACAGAATTGGAATAGTTGATACAAAACTTTGTGCACGAATTCATTCAAGGCATTCAAAAACACAATAAAAGATTAATGAATAAACTCGGGTGCATTCTAAGATGACGTCACAATGACGTCAAAGGATACTTTGCACAACAGCTTCAGAATGGCGTGACAATTAAGGTCCACCCTTTCGGGTCACGACTTACAGTTATTTTTCAGTCTTCAACCTGCTTCATTCTCAAATATAGAAATATATTCCGTTTGATAGGATTTCTAGCTGATCAGCAGAAAGTTCTGGAGTATTTCTGTGGAAACGGTATTACTGATTACTTGAAGTTTTAGGCAAAATTACACTGAATTTGATTACGAAGATTGTGCAGTCGCCATGGATGAAAGGGTTTCTGACTCAAAGCAAGCTCGTTGAAACTTTTCACGACCAACTTCACTCTTAAAACAAGGAGGGAAAATACCAAGGATTGTAAATGAGACTGTTTGACTGAAGTACTGAATAGTTTTCGAAAGAACCAACTTAAAGAAAGCTTTTCTGCTGTAAGAATGGGAAGAAAGTTAGAGGTAAGATACGTCGATCTTCGTTTACTATGAATAAAGATAAACAAAACATTTTTCTTTGCGATGCAGAATGTATTATTTATAAACTAACTTGTAGAAACTAGAATACTTAATTTTTGATATAGTTTCTGTTTTTTTAGTAGTGTTGAATTTAAAATTCGGTAACACTAGAAATAAGAATCGTATTGTAAGTGTATATATTTTAATTTAGCTGTGTTAATCTAGGCTTTGTCACGATATTTGCAAAAGCACTTTTAAAGTTTCTTACTCCATCAGCTATGATACCCAGACTATTATAGAATGCTATAGTCTATAGATCGATGTAAACTAGCTTTTTTATACGTTTTTGCATTACTTTTCAAAACTTATAATCCTATGCGTATGATCTCACTAATCCTTTGCAAAGCTCTGTGATGATAAATGATTGTCATTGTCACGTCGTGGCGACAAGTAAATTCAAGTGGAAAATATGGCGTGTTTTTTGCCGTCATTATCAATCTTTGAATCTACGGACTAATTCTGTAAACTTTTATGCTAATTCAAGTTTAAATATATGTTTGTTTATGTGTATTATTTACTTTATCAGCAAATTAAATTTTCGGGTCTTTTTCTACCTTTTATAATATGGTTTTATATTGAATAGTACAGTTAGAACACGTTCGTAACACGAGAGAAAGAGA